TCAGCCTTCCATCCTTCTGATGTGGGTAAAATGAGGGCCCGGATTGTTGTTGGGGGCGATATGCTGACTCTGTAAACCGCTTAGAGAGGGCTGGAAGCCCTATGAAGCGGTATATAAGTCTAACTGCTATTGCTATTGCTATTTTTATGTAAGCCGCCCGGAGTCCTCCGGGAGTGGGCGGCATACAAGACAAATCAAATCAAATCAAATCAATATTTGATTTTGCTTAATATAAGGTGTGACTGAACTTTGACAAGCTTTCAAGACTCAGCTATTCTAGCTTACTATAAAAAAGAGTGCTCCTGAAATAACCTATTATGTCTGTTTCTTAACTAATCAGCTTTGTAGGGCTGACAACTATATAAATACTGTATGCATTTTGATCTCTGAAGGAGAAAGTAAGCAGGATCAAAAATTGGTTGTAACTTCTAATGGTGTTTCAAATCACTGTTAAGTATTCAATAAATTACCTCAAGTTTGAGAATAATCTGGCCAGGGTTGACTAGATTTGAGCCAAAGGATATTATGTAATCATTAACTGAGGACAAAATGTCTACCATGGTCCTATCCCAAAGTACTCTAATGAGGTAACATAATCTATTATGAATCTGAATGAATGTTTGCCTTTTAATATTTGTTCATTACTTAACTAGAGGGTTGGGGTTTTTTTTAAGAAAAAGGAAAAGTAAGCAAGAATTGAAGAATGGAACAGAATGGAGAATGGAAAGAGAAGAATAAGAAGAGGAGAAATGGATGAGAAAGCCAGCAATGGAAACAAAGAAGATTTATGTATGAGCATGATCAATAAGCATAAAATAAATATGCCTTCGGCTTTATACTTTCTAGGCTTCATCCTAATTCTTCCAGTAAGTCTTTCCAGTCAGAGCTCTGGAATTCGTGAACTGTACATATTATAAGAAAATTGTTTGACATGAAAATGTGGATAAAGAATATGAGAAATATAACCATGAATATAAACATGGAAAAATTAACTGAAAGACCTGGGGCTATCGACATGCAGTGAGATTGGATTATTTAAGGAAGCTTGTGTCTGCTCTTTCGATCTTGCATGGCCCACAATGACAAAAGGGGCAGGAAAGATTATGGGTAATCTCTAACAAAAATCAGAGTTTTAAGTCTTTTTTTCCCCAACAGGAATTGGCCCATATGAGCATGTGAAACCCTGCTTAGCTGATTTCATGCTTATAGCTTTGTGTGGTTTTGTACAGAAAGAAAGGATGTTGCCATGAATAATGATGCCCTTTCTAGGGTATCATTCTATCAGTGTTGTCTGAGGGTAAGGGAGACAGAAGTATAAAAATTTAATTCTTTTTCCATGACAGAAAATATACTTTTAAGTTGATGACCACAAAACATATTTCCGCTATAGATTTAGATCTCATAAATTAAATTATTTAATAATACCTATGCTTTCTGTAACATTAGGATGGCTTTGCCCAGGCACGTTGCGAAGCACCTGAGATAGCTATCATAATCCAGAAAACTATTAGCATTCACAAGTGATAAAAATCAGCTTGAACTGTGAGCCAAAGAAACAGAGAAATCCTCTTCCTTCAAGCC